TAATTTTAAGCTCGAATCGGTGAAATGAATATAGCATAAATCTACTCTTTTTTGTTTTTTGTTTCTTTTTTTTTCCTATTTTTGGATAAAAGTGAAGTGATTGTTCTAATCCACTTGAAACCTTTCTTTGATGCGAAATTTTTATATTTTCAAGTTGGAATCTTTCTGTTTTGGATTCTGTCCAACGTTGAACTTGTCCAACAAGTTATAGTCGGTGATCAAATATGGAAAATTAATAGAGCTGACGAGACATTTTTATAGTCACCGGTTTGTACAAATCATGCATAGAGACGTTATCTGACGATTGATAACAATAGTTTAACTAACTAACTTCTTTTTAAGTAAAGATCTCATTTGAGGAAGTTATTACGGATCTAGAAAGAACACAATCTTCTTTTGTTTGGCCAGTTCTTATGCATGAATCACCTCCTAATCGATACATATGGTTTGTTTATTGACTCGATTATATTCTGTCGTTAAGGAAAGTTTGTTTGTTTGTTTGTTTGTTTGTTTTTTTTTTAAAGTGTATGAAGTTTTGAGAAGTTTGTTTGTTTGTTTGTTTTTTTTTTTTTTTTTTAAAGTGTATGAAGCAAACAAGTAACAGAGAAACTTAAAGTGATAATCGGACAAACTAATTATAGGAAGCAAAGAATCACAACCACGCGACGGTGACGGCAAACTTAATTTACAAAAGCAAATTAACGTGCCGTATATGTAATAAAGTTTGTTGAGCACATTCTTTCAACGAGATTCCATCCATATAGACGTTCCCTTTTTTTCCCCTATTAATACCTAGCTTTTCTTTACGAACTCCGCACTAATTATGATATTATTGTCAAGAACTTCATCGAAAATTACTTGAGAAAGAGATCAGTTCAGCTAATTATTATCGTAAACAATGAGATACAACAAGAGTTCAACCTTGATCATCAAGCTTTTAATAATAAAATACTTCTCGGTTCTTTGTGCTTCGCAGGCCGATTTTGATTTCTTCTACTTTGTTCAACAGGCAAGTTCATTATACATATTATATATAATATATATCATCACTGGAATTATAATTCTCTCCTTTTCTTTTCTTATAATATTAGTGATTCACATTCTTTTAGTCTTGAATATCTCTGACCTGTTTGGTCATCTGATCATGACTCGGTTAATTACATACATGCATGCGTATACGCAGTGGCCAGGAGCATATTGTGATACAAAGCATCACAGTTGTTGTTATCCAAAGACGGGAAAGCCAACGGCAGAATTTAGTATTCATGGGCTTTGGCCGAACCACAAAGACGGTTCATGGCCGTCTAACTGTAATCCCGATAGCGTCTTTGATAGATTGGAGGTAAGTATGTCCATACGTACATTAGGTTCCGTTCATTTTACCGATTCGAGTTTTGCTATAGTAAAAAGTTCTCAGAAATAGTCATATCTAATTTTTTTTATTACAGTAAAAAACTCTTATATAAAATCACATCTCAACTCGAATTAAAAACTCGAATCAACGAACAAAACAGACCCTAAATTATCTCTAATGTATTTTATGATCATACACATTAATTACCAGATTAATGGATGAAGTTTTTTGGCCGTAGGACGATTAATAAGACAAAGTAATGGATACGTTGAATATATAACATAGATATAACTACCAAAAAAAAAGTTATCACATATTTCATGAAAATATTGAAAACGTTGTCGTGTTTGGCACCTTCATAATTTTTTTTTTTTTTTTTTTGCCCTCCCTTTTGTACGAAAAATATGAGATGTATGTTTCCCTAAAATATAATTATTAGGTTAAACAGCGTGTGTATAGGACGGTTCGACCAACATTGTATAAAAAAAGATGACATATACTAGATTACATCTAAGACATATATATATATATATATATATTCAAGAGGAACACATAAACATCAAAATGTGAAATTGCTACTAGAACGAATCAACGAAGTTGTAACAAGTAAATATATTCTAGTTAACTTTAAAATACTCGGTCCAACAAATTAAGAGAATCAGAAACTTGTTATTTAGCACTTTAACTACCTCTATTTATATTTAATAAACTCGCTCTCAGTCTAGGCCCGTGTATCTTGATTTCAGTAATAAAACGTCCTAATTTTAATTTGTACTTAGCTTAATTAAGGGACATGAAGATGGAAGATTAGATCTCTTATATGCAATGTGACGCCGTATGGTCACAAAAAATATTATTATCACATTTTCTACCCATATCGTCCGTAAATTATTCCTTAATCTTTCAGCATTACTTTCTATCCTGTTTAATTTAAGCGTTTTGTTATTTCGTTTAGATATCAGATCTCATGGGAAGTCTACAAAAAAATTGGCCGTCACTAAGCTGTCCCAGTAGCAATGGATTTAGATTCTGGTCACATGAATGGGAAAAACACGGGACTTGTTCCGAGTCAGAACTTAATCAGCATGATTATTTTGCGACGGCTCTTAAGCTCAAAGAAAAAGTCAACCTTCTTAAAATCCTCAAAAATGCAGGTCTGTAAAATTAGTTTCTTTTTTTTTTTTTTTTTTTTTTTTTTTTTTTTTTTTTTTTCCTCTCCCCCGACGTCTTAATTTGATACATTGCAGTAACTATACCTTAATACCAAAAATGTGTGCATGTTGCAGAAATTGAACCAGATGATGGATTTTATAGCTTGGACAGCATTGTAAAAGCCATAGAAGCTGTAACTAGCCATGCCCCTGGAATGGAGTGCAATAAGGACTCAGCTGGTAATAGTCAGCTTTACCAAGTTTACTTGTGCGTTGACACTTCCGGATCAGAAATCATTGAGTGTCCAATTCTTCCAAGGGGAAGATGTGATTCAAGTGTTCAATTCCCCAAATTTTAGCTGATATATGGACAATCCAAGAGAAATTACTCTATGATCAAATATCAATTGATCGACTGTTATTCTTCTAATATGACAGCTTCATCATGGCTGACTAGTTAAGTTTCTTGTTGGCAATAAAGACCTTTTTTTTTTTTTTTTAGCGATTTGAATTAAGTATGATCAGTTTATCTTGATTTTTTTTAATTATATAGTCATATAAACTCTAATTTATCTTCATCTTTCGAGCAATGTTATCTGAATTTTTACTCCTTACTCTCAATTAACACCCTTTTGATGAATATAATTATTAACTAAAAATAATATTATTTAAGAACAAAAAGTAAACATCCAGACTCCTAACAGGTATTTGTCTCCTTCCCATTTTCTCATTTTTCTCGGCGGAAAGGCAGAAGTAAAATGGATCTCATGACTCGTAGCTACTATTGGGTGGACGTCAATATTAGGCCCAACCCAAATAAATCCTTTAAAAGTCAGCCCGTTGGAATGTTTCACAATAATGAGCATATTACCTCCAAAACAATTTTTCACACGACTTTGAAGGTAGGGTGTCAATTCATGTCACGTATTGTATTCGTGTCGTATTTTGATTATTTTTTTTTTAAATTTACAGTCAACCCGAACACGACCCGTTACATAAAATTTTTTAAAAACCGCAACACGACACGATCACTTTACGAGTTGACACGACACGACCCAAAAATGACCCGTGACACGAAATTGACCCGTGAAACCGAAATTAACATGAAAATTGTATACTTTTATTTAGTTTTTTACATATTAAAAATAACTTAAAATTCATAACACACTAAATTACAATAACATCCATTGAAATTAAGCAAATAATATTATAAGATTTTGAGTATAACTATTATGATATCACAAGTTCATAATAAAATTTAAAATATGAAATGAAAAATATATGTATTTTTTAGTTTTTTACGAGTTTCGTGTCGTGTTTGGGTAGGCGGGTTCAATTCAAAATTTACCCGTGTTTTTCGTGTCAATTTCAGGTTGATCCAATTCTGACCCGAACTTCTTTTTTCTCAACCCTAACCCGTAAAATTTGTGTCGTTTTCGAGTCGTATCGTCGTGTCGTGACTCATATTGCCGGCCTTACTTGAAGGACATTAATGATTAATCCTAGCTCGCTAGGCTATAGATGTACAAGATTTAATATGCTGTTAGGATTTAGGAACGATCCGTAGGAGTACCATCCTCACGTTGGGAAGCCAGACAAAACATGTGTTTAATTAACATTATGTCTAAAGCCTAATCTCTAATCCAATTATGAAGAACGTTCCTCGGACCTAATTTTTATTCTCTCTTTATGGAACTTATGCCTAACTTTTTTTTTTCCTTTAAACTCAGGCCTAACTATTGAACTCACGATAAGGCATTGACCAACAACGTTTTTTTCTTTAAAAAATAAAATAAAATTTCCGAACAATTTTTCTCGTAAGCTTATTATGACTATTGGCTACATCAGAGACGTTGGTATCATACAAAAGTCAAATGGAGAATTTTTGTTGACATGATGCCATTCATTTGGTGCTCTTTTTTTTTTTTTTTTTTTTTTTTTTTTTTTTTTTTTAAAATTTTGGGTTAAGAATTAAGATAAATAAAACTGTAACAAATTAAGGATAAAAACAAAAGTAAATGCCATCAAGATCTTAATCATTTTGAGACATATCACGTTTTATATTTGTTTCTATTCCCATTTTATGTGTAGCTTCTTAAGACAAGTACATGATTAATATTTGTGACAAGTAGCTATATCTCATGATCTATTAAACTGACGTGATAATTGATAACTAACCCCCATTCCATCTAATATAAACACTGAAAAATGAATAATTGACATGCACAACAAACACATCAAAAAATTTTAAAACATGAAAAGGAAAAAAAAAAAAAAAAAAAGAATGTAAACGGATTTTTCCCTAAAAAAAAAAATATATATATATATAAATGGATTATTGAGCGACGTTTGCTATCTTGATTTTGTATTTAAAAAAATTGCTATCTTGATATTTGTTAGGTGAACGCCCTCTTTATTATTTCAATTGGGTCTCTATCTCCCAAAATTCCATCCCCCCACGTGCTTGGCCCCATTGCATTACCCCTTGAGCCAGTATTCTTCCAATTCCAAATTTCTGTAAATTAGACCCATTTATTAACTATTTAGTTGTACCTTTTTTTTTTTTTTTTTGTCATCGTCAAAATTTAACTCTTTGGATCGACATTTCTAATCATTTTGTCCACCATCCACCGTTAAAAAGCTAAAACCATTATAATTCTAATACTACAAACTTTTTGAACTGCTACTTTAGAAAAAAGGAAAGAGGCAAGAAAAGTTGGGTTGTCGGTCATATTCAGTATTACATCATAAAAAAATAATAATAATAAAAAAAAAACCCAAGTTTCTTCTCATTTCTTGGTCCAATATGATTGGCGTTTGATGTTTTTCCCAATTACTTTTGGCTTTTGCAAAGCCAAAATGTATGCTTGCTTGTTCTTGCTTGGTCCCCGGGCTACAATATCTTCGCTCTATAAATAAGGAGGCGTTTGGTTGAGGGATTTGTTTATTGATTCGAATCATGATTCGTAGTTCGTTACAGTATTTTTTCTCACAAAAAATACACGTAAATTGAAAATGGTTCGAATCACATAGTTTGAATCCTCCAACCAAACGAACCCTAAATATGACAACAACCCAAGGGTATTATTGTAAACAGTGTTTTTTCTTTTTTTTTCAATTTTTAATTTTTAATTTCTAGTTTCTCCTCTGCCGGCTCTCTCCGGCTTATTCTAAAGCCGGCACCTTGTCAAAGTCAAGCGTGGTTTTGTATTTACTTCCTTATTTTTACCGAAACCGTGATGATTTCGAGAACCTAGAAAAGTCAGATGCAAATAAATAAAGGTGAGTTCTAACGTGACATAGGTTTAAACAAACACCGCACACAGACAAATTATAATCTAAATATTTAATTATTTCAAATATGAAAAGGATGGATAACATTCTATTTTTATTGTAGGAAAAAAAAAAAAGAAAAACATCAGTAATTCATTCACAGCTTGCATCATTGCCTTGGTCTTTAAGCGAGATGTACTTGTAAAAGGCACCTTGATGCTCAAATTGGGCAAATAGTAGAGATTTTGATGGATAGAATGTGAATGTTACAATTTTTAGAGAAAGTGATTAATCAAAGGGGTCGTTACTTCCACTAAGGTTGGTTAATCAATTATAGTTATTATTGGGAATATTTTAGCATTTTCTTATCAGATGTGACATATTGATTTAGAAATTTCTTTCACATTCATTTTAAATAACAACACGTATCATTATTTTGTTTCGTCAAATGCTCGAACGTCAACCTCAAGTGTATAATCTTGATGCTATTACAAGCTCAATGGCTTTTTGCAGTCCCTCTATCAAGGACTAAGACAACCCTCTATGTGTACTTCAATCGATGTTTTAAGTCTTTCTCGACCTTGAGTTATTTTAAGAGTGGTATTCTCTCAATTTAAATGTCATCTAATATCCTTTCAAAAAAAATTATCCAACAATAAAATACAAAACCTCCGAAAGAAAAAAAAAAATTCTTCATTTTCTTCGTCTTCTTTTTATCAATACAAGCTTAGATTACAAAATTTTTCTTGATATTTTTGTGGTAATAAATATACCTTACCATTTGATTCGATTAGCAAAAACTAAAAAGGGATAATAAAACGGCTCCACACTTTTGCTAATTCCCCGTTGGACCGTGCGGGAGACAGTGACAATCCTTGTGGCGTTTGAGCCGCCGGATTAAGGAGAGCAACAAGAAAATCTTTTCTCAATAGGAATTGCATATTTGCCAAAAAAAAAAAGGGAGAAAAAATAACACAAAAATTTGTTCATTCATTAAGCCACGTGTCATTCCACCATAAAAACTTCAAATGACGCAGTGTGGCTGTCTTTGTTGGCTACGTCCGGCCAATGATTTGACAATAAAATAGAAAATTCAAGAGCACAGTCTTTACACAATTATCATCTAATTTTTTATTTAACTTTTATGCTTAATTAAACCTTAGCTTAAAAATTACTTCACTTGTATTTATTAATTTAATTTAACAAGCAATCGGATCGAACCGAAGACTTTATAATTAATATCAACAGGGGGCAGGCACCAAACGGTTCGCCTTCTTCTCTCTTCTTCGTTTTCCCACCGTTACGCGTAGACTTGAAGTTCAAAACCTCACACGAAAATCATACCAAACAGAAACCGAATTTTCTCTCTCTCTCTCTCTCTCTCATTTTCCTCTTTCAGGATTTTCTCGCTGATTTTCCCTCACACTTTCCGGCATTCTTCGCGCAGAAAATCTTTGTCCTTCAGGTAATTTTGCTCTTCATATTTAGTTTATTCTCTCAGCATTTCTCTCTGCTTCTTTGTTGCCTTAAACGATTTTTCAGGCGCCATATTTTCAGTCTCAGTTAGATTATCTGAAATTTCTAATTTTTTTTTTATTTTTTTCCGCGTGCTTTTGTTGATATGCTTCTGGATCTGTCTGGTAATTTTCCTTTCTTTTTCTTTTTTGTTTTCTGAGAATTCGTTAAAAAAATCCTGTTTGTTTGCCGAGAAAAATTAACGGAATGAAGAGAGAGTGGAGATTTTGAACTTGACATCTTGTCTTCAATTTTCTTAGTGAAGTGATAAAGTCACCTCCACTAAGTTCTAGAGTTGCTTGAATTTGGATTGAGTTAAGTAAATTATGATAACCTCAGAAAGTAATTTTCTTCTCTATGTTTGGTTTCACTCGGAAACCGATCGAAACGTTGGCAATATATTTCAGGTCTTAACATTTCTTGTAATTGTTCTTTCACTGCTAATGAAGACTGTTTTTTTTTTTTCCTCCCCCTTCTTGTAGTCAAAACTTTCAATGGCAGTTCAAGTAAATTTAACCGAGGCAATAAGCGTTGAATAAGTCAACAAAGTTGTTCTGAATTGTAATTAGTATATATATTTAATTATAGCCACGAGTAATTGAAATTTTGCCTAATCGAGAATTTTATTCATGCGTGACTTTTGATTTTTATTTAGTATAGGGTTTTTAGGTTTTTTTATTGATAATAATATCGGTTTTTGAGATTTCGTATATTTTTAAAAAAAAAAAAAAATCAGCTGTGGAAGTAATGTGGTCCCCAGGCTTTAAGTTTCTAGTCAACTAATTCCGTTTAAAATAGTCATTGCTGTCTGCGTCTAGATCCATTAGGTTTATTAATTCATCCTTAAAAATGTGGAAGAAGACTTGCATTTAATACGGTTAACAGTAATTGATGGAAAAATATTTCAGCTATTACTTTGTTGCTTTGATGATGGAAATCTTTAAGCATTCTGCTTTTGTATTTGAAGTATAAAGTTCTTTTTTTCATATCATCCGAGCCTTTTACTTGATTTCGCACTTCTAGATATGAAGCATTTGTAGTTGCAAACTTCTGTCCTGGTCTTATCGTCCTCATTATTTCAGGTTCATCGTGGTAGTGTCAACATATATGCTTCATGTTCAAGCAAAAGAAACATAGATGCTTGATGAGTTACTCTTATTGTGGATTCATTGGAACTCGTAGCACTAGATCATTCACTTTTCACTTTTCAGACCAGAATAAGATGGTTGCAAAACCTGGCCGTTTGTGTCAATTTGAACAGCAGATCATGATTGGAGAAAATTGAAAAATTATTCCAAGAAAATAAAAGTCATCCAAGCGTCTTGTTTCTTTCTGAAGCTTTTTAGCTGTTTGCACCAGGCCAATCATTCTTCTTCCTCCTTGTTAGAGGCTTGGATTATCTATTCCATGCGCTATACACTTACTGGTTTTGGGTTTTAATGCTCACTTACCAAGGAAATTAGGTATAAAGGTTTGATGCCTTGAGAGATTACGAGAATGAAGAAATGGTATGGTGGTGTTCTGGTTGCATCCTTGTTTATGCTTCTCGTTCTAAGATATGGGATGATGAAAGATCCTATTGGGGAACGTTATTTGAGAACTCCCTTCCCAACCAATAACACTAACCCTCTTGAATGGCTGCGTGCCTTTTCTCCACCTACAGTCCAAAATCCAGAGAATGCATCTCAAGTGATACCTACTGAGATCATCATTTCCAGCCTCTTTGCTCAGAGGAATATCTCCAATGAAGAGCGGCAATCTCTGCTGACGTGGAATCACTTGAAACACCTAATGGATCATGCTCAAGGTCTACCCAATGCAGTAGAGGCCATAAAGGAAGCTGGAGGTGTGTGGAATAATCTCATGGCTTCAGTTGAAGAGTCAAAGCTTGGTTATTTAAATGAAAGTTCACAAGGAAGGGGAAAGGAGAAACAATGCCCTTATTTTCTAAACAAAATGAATGGCACGGAACTTGATAACAGTGACTATAAGTTGCAGGTTCCTTGTGGCCTGACGCAAGGTTCTTCCATTACACTTATTGGCATTCCAAGTGGAATTCTTGGTAATTTTCGGATTGACTTGAGAGGGGAACCACTTCCAGGGGAGCCTGATCCACCTATTATTCTGCATTACAATGTAAGGCTTCATGGTGATAAGATAACGGAAGACCCTGTTATTGTCCAGAACTCCTGGACTGCTACTCATGATTGGGGTGACGAGGAGCGTTGTCCCTCCCCAAATCCTGAAAAGGAAAAGAAAGGTATTCTTAGTACTTCTTCATCTATTGAACACAAAATCATACTCGGTATGTAGATTTGTAGCGAATTCATTTTAGTACAGAAATCATGAAGGTTTTGTGCCCAAGAACTTTGAGGCTAAACCATGACTATTGAAGTTGTCACAAAAAACATGTATGAAATGTTGATACATTGTTTTTAGAATTAAAAATATCAAAATTAACTTGGTGAGACTTGGAAGTTCTACGTTTCTTCTCGTTACAATTTGGATCCACCAAATAAGTACCCCCTTTTTTTTTTGCATGACATTTGTTTCTTCCTATCCTTCCGTTGAAAATATGTCATGTCTTGAAAACTTAAGAATATATGTACCAAATTTACACACAGATTTATAGAGGTTGCAGTTTGACTTACTTCTTTCATATAATGCTTGACATTTGTTTCTTCCCATCCTTACGTTGAAAATATATGTACCAAATTTACACACAGATTTATAGAGGTTGCAGTTATTTGTCAAATATATGTATAAACTTGGTACTTTTGGTCTCTTGACTTGATCAACACATGGATCGCTCATTACATGTTATTTGGAAGAAAGGCTGCAGTATGCAATGTATTCTGTGCTGATGTTACTAGCTAGACAAACCATGTGTTTCCTTCAATTTGGATCACAACATGATCCCATCTTTATGATTTCTGCTAAACATTGCACAAAATGTTTCCATGTAAAATCATTCCAGATACTCTTACTTCTTTTTTCTTTTTCTTTTCCCTGTTTTTTCCTGGCTATCTCACGAGGCAACATTTACAACCATGTACTCCAGTCCTTCGATGAATGACATAGTATTGTGTTCATTTTCCAGTGGATGAGTTGGATCAGTGTAACAAGATAGTTGGAAATGATGTCCAGCTTCTCATGGCTGGTAAGCCTTCCAATATCTCAAGGCGACCATCAATGGTGCAATACGGATCTAAACCCAAAAAGTACTTCCCTTTTAAGCAAGGTTATCCATTTGTTGCAACAATCAGAGTGGGATCAGAAGGAATCCAAATGACAGTTGATGGGAAGCACATAACATCATTTGCTTATCGTGAAGTAATTTCTCTTATTTTTGTATATTTATTTAGAACTTCAAGTGGAATGACCTTGTATCTTTAAACTTATCAGCTGTTTGGATTGTTGTCTTTCAGACGTTGGAGCCATGGCTTGTTAGCGAAGTAAAAATATCAGGAGACTTCAAATTGATTTCTGTCCTAGCCAGTGGTTTACCCACGTCAGAAGATTCAGAGCACATAATTGATTTAGAAGCACTCAAATCACCCCCTCTCTCTCCACAAAAAGCTCTGGATCTTTTCATTGGTGTTTTTTCTACTGCAAACAATTTTAAGCGCAGGATGGCTGTTCGAAGAACATGGATGCAGTATCCAGCAGTACGATCTGGGGCTGTTGCAGTGCGTTTTTTTGTTGGCCTGGTGAGCTTAGTATTTGTATTTACATTTGTTTAGGCTAGAAACTTGTAAATTGTCCTAGTTGAGCAGAAATTGTCAATCAAGATCTATGGGAATTTTTGCAGCATCCAAACTGATTGCGAATGCCATTTAGACGAAATAATTAAAAGTTCTCATAAACCATAAACAGAAGTTTATTATGGAACCCAAGCTTTTCTTTCTTTTTTCTTTTTAATGAGGTTTCTTGTCATTAGCCATAAACAGTCAGTTTATAATAGAACCTGACTGGCCTCTGGTTTAGTGAACCAAATCTGTTCTTAGGAAAGCCTGTTATATGATTTATCAAGTTTGTCATTCATTGCAGCATAAAAACAAAATAGTCAATGAGGAACTCTGGAATGAAGCCAAAACATATGGAGACATTCAACTTATGCCTTTTGTTGATTACTACGGCCTCATCACGTGGAAAACTCTAGCAATCTGCATCTTCGGGGTAAATCTTGTTTTTCCTTAAACTTGGGTTATTTTCCTATCTTTCTCCTTGGTCTTGTACTTACTCATCCCATCTCTTGAACAGACAGAGGTTGTTTCTGCCAAGTACGTCATGAAGACAGATGATGATGCATTTGTCCGTATGGATGAAGTGCTAGCTTCTTTACAGAGAATCGGTGCGACTCGTGGGTTGCTTTATGGACTCATTAATTCAGATTCTCGACCTCATAGAAATACTGATAGCAAGTGGTTTATCAGCCCTGAGGTAATTATTTGTACTGGATTGTAGTTGACTTGGAATCGGTCATAAACACAATCAATCTTTGGTCGAACTTTTCCATTGTGGACTGTCTTGTTGGATTAAGCAAAAGATGCTTGTAGAAATTCTGTAAACATGTTACTACATATGGACGTTGGCACAAGCATATATTTGCATATAAGAAACAAATTACACATGCATATGCAGATAATCACATACAGCACAAAAGGCCATTTTCAATAAATACTCTTATTTTCATATGAAATTTAGGAACAGAAGTGGGGGAAAAAAAGCGTGTTATTCTACTCATTATGACATTTTTGGTAGTTTACTTGCTCAAGTAACATTTGGGTTCCTGTTGGCTTTTGCCATTGCAAGGTTGCGAAACGGATCTTGGATTTTAAGTTGAATTAGCCCAGATTTTAGATTAGATTGTGTATGCATGTCATAACAGAGAGATACGTTCCTACTTCAGCACAGATAATTTATTATTTAAACTTTTTTTATGTCTCACTTCATTGTCTATCTTGATGAAGGAATGGCCCGAAGAGACTTACCCACCTTGGGCGCATGGTCCCGGTTATGTGGTGTCCAGAGACATAGCAAAGGCTGTAGTCAAAATGAACAAAGAAGGCCGTTTGAAGGTAATAAGAAATCTTAAATAACTTGTTGCAAATTTTACTGAGACTACTTTGCCTTTTGATACGCGCAAATTTTGTTGGAAAACCGAATGTTGCAGTTCGGATAACGTTAGTTTTTTCAATCGTGCCGCGCAGATGTTCAAGCTCGAGGATGTGGCGATGGGCATCTGGATTGCGGAAATGAAGAAGGAGGGCTTAAAGGTAAGCTACGAGAATGACGTGAGGATCTACAACGAAGGATGCAAGGATGACTACGTGGTTGCCCATTACCAGGGTCCCAGAGAGATGCTTTGTCTCTGGCAGAAACTTCAAGAAGGAACTGGCGCTAAATGCTGCGGCCAAAGATAGATATATGGCCAATATATTATATTTCTCACTGTTACTGAAGCTTTTTGGCGCTTCATGGAAGTCACCTGAGAAAAATCTTGGTAACCAACCAACCTTATAGTAGAGAGATTCTGTTGACCAAGGTTGAAAGCAGGCAAATAACAGAAGACAGAGAGAGGACCACCTTTAACACGAAGATGAGGGATTTTTTTGGGGGGTTAATTTTAAAGAATGGGGTTGGTATCATTGTTAATTTGTTATATAGGCAGGTTATAGCTAGTGCATATGGGCCACTATATGCTTAACTATTATTTTCTTCCCGAATTTTGAAGGCTAGAGAGATTTTTGCCTTGTGTAAATTGTAGCAATAGTAGGATACCTCAAATTTTACATAGGGTCCACAATAAACGTGGCTGTATCACACAATTCTTTATCTAGAAAAATTTTTAAAATATGTATATTCACTCCATGCGCCAAGATCAGTCCTGATAAGTTGCTAATTAATCAAGGAAGAAAGAGTTGAATAGCTTTTTTCTGAAACATTTAGCATATTAACGGTAAATTATTCATTGACAAAGTATATTTACGATAAATTTTCTTATGAATTTTTGTAGTTTTCGCAATTTTTTTAAATATATTTCCATCTATGTCAATTTTCTCACTGAAATTTGTATCGAAACGATATTTACTTGTTGAAGAAACGACAATAGTTGGAAAAAGGACATTAATGTTCAAAACGACAATGACTGAAAAAATCATAAAAGCGAAAGAAAACACAAGAAAACTACTGCAACCCAAACAACACCATATGAATAACAGACAACGACAAAACGGCAAAAACATTTAAGCTACAATTACCCATAACACGACAATATAGCAAACGGCACTAACATGGAAAAGCGACAACAACCCAAAACGACAATAAATGAAAAAACAACAAATGAAAAAACGACAAGAACCAGACAAACGACAATTTTCAAAAAAGGGACAAACAAGAAAACGAGATTACCACCAAAACGACATGAGTTGAACTGAACCAACGACGAGAACCGAAAATGGACATCAACTTAAAGACACCAAAAATCTGAAAAGAACAGCAAATAATTTGTGTGGGAAGAGGGGTGGTATGGACTAAAAAATCACCAACCGCGACACAATCGTAATTCGCGACCTCGACACTCACCAATCATGAAAATGATGAACGCAAAGACAGAGTCCTGAACTGTCTCTTCTTCTGGTTTTGGTAACAGTATTTCTCCTTTCTTCAGATGAGAGACAATTTATGTATTCCCTTTGGAAAACATTGTCACAAAGCAAGCATTCTGCATTTAGTTAAAAGAAAACTTTATTACCAAATATTAGTTTTGAGATAATAGAATACATATAGCCAGTTTTATCTTGGCAAAAATCCATGACTGGAAATTGCAATCTCAAACGCTTGCATTCTTTCACCACGAGCAAAACCGTTTCGATCATAAGATGATATCTCATTTATGTTTAGATCATTGCAAGCCTTTATTAGCTCCTCACCAACACGTTTAGCAGCTTCCTATTAAGACATCAAACGAAACAGGAAAAAGACAATAATGAGTAGTGAAGCAGAAAATATAACATTTTATTGGCCGCCAACAATGGCCAAAAGCTAATTTTAGTTTCCATTGTTTATACTTACGGTGGTTGTACAAGAGGGATTCTGATGAATAGATTTCTGTAGAGTGCTGCCATAAAACAGACATTTCTTATTTTGATCATCTACTAGCATAGCATACAATTGTTTGTCTGAGCAGAATACTGAAAGCCTCGGTTTCATAGGCGTGCCGTTGTACTGAAAAGGTAGAGAAATATGTTTTCCATGGATAAGCATACAACCACAATCGGCAATATTCATTCCAAAATCTTAAAACTACATCGAGAAACACAGACGGAGGTTCATACATAATTGAGTTTGATTTAGGAAAGAGGGGGGAGAAAAAAAAAAAGAGAAAGAAAAGAAAAACAACTCTAATATAAGGAGGATGTGTTGCTAAATAAAGCAGGAAGCAATGCGGTAGTGAGAAGAACTACCTTCTTTAGCATTCTTCGGTTTCGAATTTTTGCACTTTCCCGTCTAGTATTGGCCCTAGCATTTATCACCAATGGCTTCAAAGATAAATCTGTAGCAAATCCAAGTGAATCTCTAGTGAAGCCCAAAATGCAGAGGTTAATTCAGTTCCTAAAATACTAGGCCCCTACTGAAACAAGTTGACAATGATTTTCTCGCTACATGCAATGCAGACATGTTTTTAAGAAGTTCACCTTCAATCAAGTATAGCCAAAAACACACCTTTATATATATACATGTATATATATGCATGTATGTATGTATGTATGTATGTATGAAGTTTAGGCTTCACTTACTTCTACTCCGCATAGGCTGGAACTGAAAGTCCGTTAAATACACGCCAAAGAGATTGGGACTTCTTATTAGTTGCAGCGCGGGAACACTTAAAAGAGTCATACCATGTACTTCTTGAAACATTTCAATTTCCCTGTAATGATTTACACTAAAAACTTCACCAGCAAGTTAAGTCTTTCATTAAGATGAAAATGGGGAATTGCAAATCTGCCCAGAAAAAAAAAATGCAGGCTCATTCAGGAATTTCATCAAACAGTTTATGTGCCTTAGCAAGTTTAAATATAAGACCCATACTTACTAACGAACCTAAAAGTATTGTATGTCATTTTCTTTTTTTTTTTTTTTGGTTTTACGTTTTTATAAAAACTAACCGCGTTGATTAAAAAAAAAAAAAAAAAGAGATAAGAAAATGATATGAAAAAGAGTGGCTATTTAACCCTGCCATAGAATCCGTTTAATTCGTGTATTTAAATCATAATTTTTAATTTTAAAACTTAAAATTAAAAAAAAAATTAAAAAAAATACTATAATAAAATTAAAAATCATAATTTAAACGACAGGCCTTAATGCACCTAGCAAAACACACTTGTTATATATAATCATTATTACCGATCATAAAAAATTAAAAATTAAAAAAATAAAAAAGATAGGGAAGGAAAGAAGAGAAACCTTTTGCAGCTTTTCTAAAACGTTCCAGAATACTCGAAAATGTAATCGGGCGTATTTTGACCAAATAAGAGATGAGACTCGTAGGAAGATGTTCTGTCAGATCTTATGAATTTGCTAAAATAAGAATGGAATGTACAAGAACTGCTGACTTGTCAATTTAGAAGAAATTTATATTCCACTTCATTTTATTTACTTCATATTAGTCTTCACCTTGAAGTAACCTAACCCACTAATTTTTAATCCCAACCTTCCAGTAGAGTAGATGCCAGTTTGATGGGTGTTGAAGTTGTATAAGTTTTCCTTGAGAGATTACAAGTTTTCTTGAGAGAATGTCAGTTTGGAATTAAGATCTCTCCCATTTTCATGTCTTGATAACTATTACTTCAATTAAATTTTGATACTTTTTAAATTATTTAAATATTTTTAGTATTTTATTCATATTTATATGCTCAGATTTTTAAATTTAAATGACATAATAAATAATTAATAAAAAAACTAATGAAACAGAAAAATTAAGACAGTAAATACAGACTCACTAGTTTAATATAGAGATGAAATAATGGATCGGGACCCATAGACTGGCCCGGGTCCATCCTGCTGACATAGTGACGAGTCGGGCCAGCACAACCCGTCACTGTTCAAGGCACGACTCATCCCATAAATATTAGTGGCCTGAGCTAGGTTGATATAGGCCGGCTCGACATGACCCATAAAAAATCATGGGTCAAGCCAAGCTGAACCGGCTCGTCTAGGCCTATGATGGACCGGCCTAGCCCGGCCCATCTAGGCCCATGATGGGCCAGCATAGCCCAGCCCATTTGGACTCATAATATCTTCATTTTTTTTCTTTTTTTAGTAATTTTGTAAACATCTTATGTATAATTATCCTGATTGTATTCTTTTTTCCTTACCAAGGTTTTGTCCCACTGAATTTTTCTTAAAAAAGTTTTTATTTAATGAGGCAATCATATATAAAATATCCATTTTTATATTTCCATTGACTATTCAAACTTTTATATTTGTTAACTTGTTTAAAAATTAAAAAATTAAAAATTACATATTTAGATGAGCTAGCCCCTCTAAACCCTTTATGGGCCAAGATGGGCTGGCCCATGTAAACCTATAATGCGCCAAGATAGGCTTTGAATGGGTCAGTCCATTCAAGGCCAATGGCACGGCCCTAGCCCACGACACGGCCTGTCTGACCCACGTAAAATTAGCCTATGGTGTAGGTTGAGTCGAGGTATTTCTTATACGGGCCAGCTCGGCCCGGCCCACAAAATTCATGAGCTTGGTCAGCCTGGCCCATGGCCTCCATGGGCCTAAGAAGAACGGGCTGGCCCGGCCCAACCCATTCTTGCATCTCTAGTTTAATGGTTATATTGTTTCACCAACCTAATTAACTTTAATAATTTTTAATGTGACATCAAAATAACCTCTATATTTTATTCTCGTAAATTGCAACACGACATATTTTGGGTTCATATTACATTATTGATTTTGTCTTTTTTTAATATAAAATTTAAATTCAAACACCTCAAAACAAAATTGAATGTGTATTTACTATTAAATTTTACTTATTATTCTATTAGTTTTTTAATTAATTTTTTAGTTTTTTTTACGATTAAAGTCACAATTTAAATTCTATTATTATAGTATTTACTCTTATAAAAACTCAAATTTAATTTTTTTTACTGTAGTGTTCATTTTTTAATTGTGAAATAAATAAGGCCACACGCGTTATATGTGACTTATGAATGAATATTATTGACCAACTTCAATTCACAGCCAAATTAAAATCAATTATTGACCCAATTTCACGAAAAAAAAGAAAGGAAAAATCAAACCTTAAAAGTGAAAGACTAAATTGAATGAAACAAAAAACCCACAATTACTCAGCAAACAAAAAAAAAACCATAATTATTAAGTGCTTAAATAATATATGGGTTTGTTACGATGTAAAATTATAATTATAATTTTGTTATAATATTTTTTTATAAAAAAATTTAAATTTTAAAAGTTATAAATAAAACTTAATTTAAATTGTGGTTTGAACTTTTATACTGAACGAGTCATGATGATACAAATTTTTAATAAAATAATAATTAAGATCACATTTATTTTACTGATTTAAATTTTTAATTTTAATTTTAATATAATTAAAAAATTTCATAAAAAATTAAATTTTATTATGTTATAATATAAAATTCTCATATAAAAAAGTATATCTCATCATATATTAAAAATTTAAATTAAGAACGAAACTTAAATTTTCAATAATGAAAGCTTAACACTTGTCAAGAATCCATTATTAAAAAGAAAAAATCATTGCTTTATACCCCTATTTGCCTCCACATAAAAAATATCTCACCTAAAATGAAAGCGACCCTTTTTAAAGATAGACATGAAGCTTCAATCCTGTCTTCGTTAATCGCCAAAACAAAAATAGACTGGATTGTTCTTTGTCTAAAAAATTTAAAAAAAAATAATTTAAATTTAAATTTTATTTTTATATTTTTTTAAATTTTAATTTTATTTAACTTTATTTAAATTATAATTTTAATTCAAATTATAACGCAAATTTAACTTAAAAACTACGCTCAAACTCGAACAACACTTCTTCACAAAATTCCAGATCTTTCTACAACCTTCTCTCCATTTCTGGACCCCACCGCCTATTCCCTCTTTTATATTCACGCCCCCAATTTCTCCTTTCCTTCCCCCAATATAAGAAAAGTATTCTTAATTCAGATTCTCTCTCTCTCTCTCTAAAACAGCTTGCATCTCTGTAATCAATGGCTTCCGAAGCTGACAGCTCCGAGCTCTCTTCAATGTTCGAGCGGTTCGTCAGAAACAGAGACTTGTCCCTCTTCCTCCCCTTCATCTTCGGCTTCGCAAACACCCTCGAAAGGCGAGACTCGCAAGAATCAGACGATCATGAAAACGACGACAACAACCGACCAAACGACAGTAACCACAACAGAGTGATTCTGATAAACCCATTCACGCAGGGGATGGTGGTGATAGACGGCGTGTCGAGCTTGGATTCCCTGCTGCGGGAGCTGGGCAACAAGGATGGTCAACCGCCGGCATCAAAGGAATCCATCAAAGCCATGGCGAGCGTTGAGATTGGCGAAGATGGCGAAGAGTGCGTGATTTGTTTGGAGGAGTTTGAGGTCGGTGGGTTCGCGAAAGAAATGCCTTGCAAGCACAGATTCCATGGCGGTTGCATAGAGAAGTGGCTGGGGATTCATGGGTCTTGCCCTGTTTGCAGGCACAAGATGCCGGTTGATGAGGAGGGAGAAGATGGTAAGAGAAGGGGTGCAGAGAGAGAGAGAGAGATTTGGGTTAGTTTCTCTTTCAATAGTCGTGCTAGGAATAGTGATGGTGATGATACTAACCAGAGTTCTTCAAGTGATTCTGGTGTTGTTGGTGATGGTGATGGTGTTGATTCTTCTTCAGCAGCAGATTAGAGCAAGAATTCTTGTAAGATGCAAAAGTTTTTCTTTTATTGTACAGGAAGAAGAGATTTTACAGTGTTAATATTGAGTTCATGAATGAATGAAAGATTTTTTTTATATATATTTTTCACAATATTGTTTTAGTTTTACAATAATGATATGCTGTGTAATTCGAATTATGTTAGTGGCAGGATAAAATTGTTGTTTTTGAGAGCTCAAATTTGCTGTTTTTGCTGTACCTTGCATATTTGTGGTATTATTAAAATTTGAGAATCTAGTCACATATTAAACATTAAAATTTAAACAATATTTGAATAACTACATAAGATGTCAAGATAAGAGTGGAAATGGAGAGAGGAAAAAAGGGACAGCGGATTTGGATATATAATATTTGGATTCACAAAATTAAACCCAATTAAATACACAGAAAGGTAGATTGTTGTTGCTGACTGAATTTGTTCCAAAGTTTGGATCTTCATAGTCTAAATCTACATATATATATATATATGTATAATTGGTAAGAAACCATTAGATCTCTTAGAGGTTAATTTATGGACTTGGTGTATCGCAATCTGGAGGATGATTTTTTCTTTCCTCAGGAATCTTGATCCCTTGGTACCTTCCAAGCATTAAAAGAGTTGCCATTGGATTTGTGCCTGGTGATTCCGAGAAAGTTGAGCCATCAACAACTCTTAGTCCCTTAACACCATAAACTCTATAATTCTTGTCAACAACCTCTCCAACTATACAACCACCATGATAGTGGTAAAAAGTCCTCGCGTTCTTCTTGCAAAACTTCCTCACCTCATCTTCAGAAGTCATCATCAGATTGCTTTTCTTGTGCTGTGTCCCAAGGAAGAGAGCAATGGATTGAGACTTCTCAACTCGTTTGAGCAGCTCCACCAATCTCACACACCCATTTGAGTCTTCTTCCTTTTCAAGGTAGTTGAATTTCACAGATGGGTTTTCCTTTGGATCTTTGCTCTTCAACTCTAGCTTTCCCTTTGATAAGGGGAATGCGAGTTTGGCTGCAATTGGAACCCTTGTCGCATTGAGGCTTATAGGTAGTATTCCTGCTTCAATTATGATATTGAAGTCATCTGTGATGCCTGCAACTTGGGGTGTATCCGGTTGTCGTTTTTGTGGCTCTGAGTCCACCAAAACGGCGACGCCGGGGTTGTCTTTCATTCCGCGCCCGACTCCCTTTAGATCAACCATAAGTGGAAGCTTGAAACTCCTTAGGTGTTTGTAAGAGCCAATGCCACTCAACAGTAGAATTTGCGGGCTGCCTAAAGCCCCGGCTGATAGTATAACATCGCCTGATGAAATGGGATTGTTTGGATGGTTGAGATAAGCTCTGTAGGTTTGATCAGAAGTGCCATCGCTCTTGATGTATCTTATCCCGTGAGTTATTTTCTCAGTTGTGTTTCCTGCAACATTAGATTAGATTTGAAAACATATAAAAGGGCTAAAAAGTGCGATATTGGTCACTAAGGAGTACAAATCTGTAGTCCAATCTCTATGGGGGCGTTTGGTATGCGGGAATAGTAAGAATCATATTCTTAAGAAAGTGACGAAGGGTAATATGATTTCTAAGAATAATATATTACTGTGTTTGGTTTCATACAAGAATCTTTTTCAAATTCCTAAAAATATTACATTACTGTGTTTGGTTGTTCGCATGAAAGAAGATCCATAATAATAATATTAATAAAAAAATATATATTATTAATTAAAAAAATAAATATAATATTAAAAAAAAGTGTCATGACCTCAAAAGTAGTAATAATAATAATACTAATAATAATAATAATAATAATAATTATTATTATTATTATAATAATTATAATTATTATTATTATAATTATTATAATTATTATTATTATAATAAGATTCCCATGATTTTGAGGGAATTTGAATAACATCATGTTGGGTGGTATTCAAATTACCTTAAAATTAGGGAAAGTGAATCTCATGATAATCACTTTTCTGAGAATCTAAATATTATAATTCTTGTACCAAACATGATAATATTGCAGATTCTCATTCTCATCTTTAAGATTACTGCATACCAAACAACTCCTATGTTCCATTGCTCTTCATCCAATCAAATTTTAACACCTCATTTAATTGTTTTTGTTTTTGTTATGTGATCAGATATCATAACAAATTATTATTCGAGAGATGACTAATAGGATAAAAAATTAAGAAAAACTAGAAACTTAAAAATCAAGATCAGTAGTCTCTAAATCAGTAGTCTCTAAACTTGTTAAGAAGTTTCTCATTATAGTCTTTTAACATTTTCCTTTATTCTTATGGAATCAAATGACTCTTACGTGCAACTATTTTTGTCCTTTAAATTTTGACAGAAAATTTTAAAGGTCTAATAACAAACATTTTAGCACTTCAAGGATTACACGTTTCTTAAAGCTTAAGGAATCAAACCAACCACAATACCAATTAAAGAACTAACTTGAACATTCAATATTGCTTACCATTGCTACGGAAAATGACACTCTTCACGGTTGCATTCAAAAGAACAATGATGTTTTTTGGATTCCCTGCCTTTAAAAGCTCAGCCGAGGTGTGCCTTTTCCCACGTCCATCAAAAACACTCCCGCCAATCTTTGTTCCCTCAATATGCTCTAGACTAAAACCATTATATGGCAAAATCCCTGCTTCAAGGAAGCTAAATTCCGCCACCGTCTGCCAGGGCGTCAATTCGGGTGTAAACACGACTCTAGATTCAACCCATTTGTAAGCGTCTTTCACTAGCTTCTCATCCCAACCAGCCTGTTTGACAAAATCCTCACTAGCTCTGCTGTAAAATCCACCATTTATGGCAGATGACCCTCCAAGAACTCTTCCTCGCAGATTCTGAATACCATCCTCCGAGACAAACATTTGAGCAACCGAAGTGTATTTGTCGGTTTGGAGCAATGACAATCCGTAGAGATTCTTGTCCAATATCAAAGGATTTTCAAACGGCGAACCACCTCTCTCGACCAAAAGCACCGAGAACTTCTCAGACAAAGTCGCGGCTAAGGGGCAGCCTGCAGTTCCTCCTCCAACTATAATGTAGTCAAAGGACTTGCCCGAGACTTCGTCGACATCTGAAGTCATGCGGGGAAGTGCTGTTTCTACAATCAGGAAAGCAAAAAGGATGTAACAAGCTCATTACTCATGAAGAGACCGTACTTGGAAGTGATTAAAAGCTACTTAAAAATAGTGTGACATACCTTGAGATTGTACTGGAGAACATAGAGAGGAAAAATCTATGAGTAAGAAGAACAACACAGGAATGGCTTGTGGAAACTTCATTTTCTTCTTTTTTGATGCTTTCATACAACTGCCATTAGAGAGAAAGAAGGGTGTAATTTATTGACGTGTGAGAGTTATATAATCATTAAGAGTTTCTTAGTGCTAGTGGTTTGAATTGATTGAAGTGCTTTGTTTGCAGTCATATACTCAAGTTTACGCATGGTTTTAGCCAATGATTTATACTTCTTTACTAAGATGCATACCTACTAATTATGGTGCTATGACTATGATTATCCCCATCTTCCATTTGGTTTGTTTTTTTTATTTTTTAATGTTCGGAGCCATAATGAATACTTGCGCAAACATGAGAAGAAAATTTAAGAGAGTCATGGAATTGTCCTAGTTACACATAAAATCCTTTGTTAGGCCCTTCGTATGGGGATGTTACCAATAGACCCCACCATTTTTTTATTTTTTTATTTTTTTTGGAAAAGTTAAAGTTAACTTCTTTGACATTTCAAATGGAAAAATGTCTTTTTAATCACCCATTTAAAAACTTAAATTGAAAACAAAATGATACATATAAATCCAGCCCGGGCAGAAAGCCAAAACCCGGAGATCACTCATAAATCAGCACACATTGTCAATGGTCGGCATTCACTTGTTAAATACAAAGAGGTTAACATTTTGGGCGACTTTCTAGTGTTTGATTACGTTAATGGGCATTTTTTAAGTCCCGTTCATATCACTTATTTGAGTTTAAAATTTAAGTTTGTTATAGTAAAAAGTTCTGAGAAACAATCACATTTAACTTTTTTGTTACAGTAAAAAGTTATCATATAAAGTCACATCTCAATTCAAATTAAAAACTTAAATCAACGAACTAAAACATCGTTCATTTCACCGATTCGAGTTTTCAGTTTTAGGTTGTTACAGTAAAAAGCTCTTAGAAAATGTCACATCTAACTTTTTATGCTACAGTAAAAAGCTCTAAAAAAATGTCACATCTCAGTTCGAATTAAAAATTCAAATCCGCGAAGTGAACGATGCCTAATGTGTTTTGATCATTTGTCTTCTAGCCCCGGAGAAAAAATGATTTTCTACATCCATTGTCTCGGGATAGATTGTTAAAATGTAAACATTACGACAACTTGAAACTTGATATGTACAAGTGATGACAATTCCTTTGTTTCTCGTCAATGAAGCAAGTTTTTTACTCTTTGAAGATTTTTTTTTTTTTTAAAAAAAAAAAAACCTCAATCCAATAATGGCTATCAGTTTATGTTTTCACTTGGGCAAGACTTAAGATTAGAGAAGGAAAGAGGAAGTAAGAGGGCATTTTTGTCATTTGAAATGTTAGAATCCTCACTTTTTCCCAAAAAGAAGATGGTGGGGTCTATTTTCCAGTTTGAAGAGCAGAAGGCTTTATTTTGCCAAAACCAGAACACATGGAGAGAAAGAGAGAAAATGTATTTGCACAATCTATATATACATATATATATATATATATATATATATATTAGTTTCCTTTAATATGAATATACTTTCAAAAGTCCTTGGAGATCCATAACACATGACAATATACATAGTTTATAGACAAGATTAAAGTCCAACAATCAAGTTTGGCGCATTCACTATATAATTAAGATCGCGCCAATTAGTATCAACGTTTAAGACAACTCGAGATGCACATTTTGAGCAGTTTTGTTTTTCCCTCCTTATATTCCTTTGCAATTCAAGTCTATTGCTTTTGGACCCGTTTCAAAGTCATTCTGATATTGACTATTCAGATCAATAGTCCCCGGCAAAAATCCAGATGTTCTCAAATGGTCATTGCTTTTCTCTACATGGTTTTGTGATCTTTTCGAAACCGGTTGCTCAACACAAACTCCATCAGAAATGGTGTTCCCGCTTCTCTTTCTTCCATTGCTTGTTTCACTGTTCCATGGCTTGTGTTGTGGATGGACATCCATTAGTGGTAATTCAACAGAGTTTGTGTTGTTGGACTTTTGATGATGATCATCATCATTGCCTTCCCAATCGTTCGAATTCATCGGTCGCTTCTCTTCTTCCTTTCTCCCCGAGCTTTCGGAGGATGTGAGTGAGCTCTCCATGGAGCATATTGTGCGTCTCATTGACCTCCTTTCAATGACTTCTAGGCTTAATTCTCTCGCTTCAGTTAGTTCTGAGAACGATGAGCTTTGGCATCCTGTGTTAACCATGTTTAGTAACCGAGAGAGTTCGGTTTTCGCAAACTCTACTCCCATTGAAGAAGAGCTATAACCAGCAAGAGTTTCCTGTGCTTTTTTTAGTACTGATTGTAGATACTTCCCTTGAGCTTCAATTCTCAGCTGCAAATGTCTCTGGACCTGAAATTTAAGAAAAAAAGTAAATATATACAATACCTATATTATATATCTATGACAAATTTATTGCTGATAAGCACTAATTAAGATGGGATTATTGGTTTATTGGTTCTTTAATTACCTCAATCTGTTCATGGAGTTTTCTTTGTACTTCCATTTGCAACTGGAGAGCCTCAGCTATTTTCAAGCTTCTGATAAACACAAGAAAGTTTTAACTTGATTAAATAAAGGGTTCTCTTCATTTGTGTTTCTTAATCAGATTGATCAAACAGATGGGATCTATTTTCTAACTATTATTACTCATTGATCTCACTCTGACTTCCATCATTGATCTCCCTATTGAAATGCCCATCACTTCCTTGAATCTCTTTGTAATCTGAAAGAAGAAAGTACAATATATCAATACCATAAACAAATGAAGGATAGAGAATTATGAATGCATTTATTATACAATCTGATGCAATCAAACTACCTTCTTGCTTATCATCAGAGCAATTTTCAGACTGTTGGCTTTTCCCCAACCTGTACTTCTGCAAAAACAAACAAGAAAAAAATTTGTCTTTTCAATCTGGGTAATTTCCAATTTTGACATGTACAAAAGATTGAATACTGAAAATACCTGTAAATGGCTCTTTAGATGGTACAAAGTGAGTCCAGGAATTCCCATCACTCTCATCAAACTCTTTGGTGTGGCTTCTGCCCAAGTATAAAGAAGGAAAAAAGAAAAAAATTACACTTGTTTTGTGTAATAACTCCAAGAGATTTTGGAAAAAGAAAAGAATTAAAAAGAAGATTATTTGTTTCATAAACTCAACTGTCTGCCCCTCCAAGCTGATTGACTGCTTCAACAAATCTATGATGAAGTTCAGGAGTCCATTTAAGCCGGGGCTTTGCATCAGTGGATAAGACCAAATTCATATTCTGATTTTGCATATTCTAAAGAAGGATTTTCTTTCTTTTTTCTCCTCTTGTGTGTTGTGGATGAGAGACAGAAAATAGAGGACTTGAAAAACATAAATATGGGAATTTCGGTGTTTTTGCAATATGTGGCAGCTGTAGTTGTAGTACCAGTAGTAGTAGTAGTTTCTGTTTTTATAAATTGGAGTTGTTGGGGTGTCGTATGTTCTCACTCCATATCTGGAAACATAATAAGTGGGGTTATGTTGGGAGGGAATATATGCCATGAGCTGTGGCTCTTCCTTTCTCTACTAAGTCTTCCATTTCATACCAACTTTTTAAAAAAAAAAAAAAAAAAAAAATTTCTTATTTTCTTTCTTCTTTGACTTGGAAGGAGTGGAGAGAATCTTTGATGCAGCAAAAACAGAGAAAGCAACACAGTTCAATTTGAGTCTCGAAAGGAGAGAAAAGAGGAAAAGTGTATAATTTGTTTTTATCTTGCTGTTTTCTCACTTCTCTCTCTCAATCTATTTCTATTATTGTGTTGTTATTTTTTTTCATATATATCTCCCTCTTTCTCTCCTTGATTCCCTACTGAATTAGGTGGCCCCACCATGATGAATAATGGGTGTAACTTTCTTAACAGCATGAGAAGCTTTCAAAGGGACAAAATAATAATAATAATAATAATAATTAATTAAGTTGATGGGAATTGCTATAATGGATATTTCTTTTTGTGACTGAAAGGGAAAACCAAATGGGCATTCTTTTTCTTTTGAATTTCTTCTCCTTTTTTTTCTCTCTTTATTTTATTTAATTTATTAGGAGAAGGATGTGGTGTGATTGGCAGATTCTTTTTGTTCTTTGTAGGGAAGAAGGAATTAAAGAATCTAAGATTAGATTTGAGGACCCAGGGCCAGACCATAACCTATTTTTCTTATAAAGTAGTAGTAGTAGTAGTACTCAATAGAGAAAAGTAGTGAATCAAACAAGCCCTCTTGTGCAAATGAAAAAAAAAATGGTAGATTTATACAATGGCATCCCTGCAGTATAGCATAAATGCTTTTATGGAAAATGAATTAAAAGTGAGAGACATGTATTTTGTAGGATTATCCAAAGAAAGCAGAATCTGAGGCCCTGAATTTCATATGCAAGCCTGTCATTACAGTCTATTTTCTTGGCTTAACATACAGCATAAAATGTCCCCACATTAAGTACCATCAATCAATGAGATATTCCTGCCTTCCCTGCCGTCCAATCAAACTAAAAAAATTGCATCAGATACCCCTACTCATCATATCAGATGTACGCAAAAACAAGGCTGCTTCATGTCCCAATCTCAAGTAATGAACATGCCTTAAAAATTGACCCTCTTTCTCTCAAATTTTTTTTTTTTTTCCTTTTTAACCCCCGGGTTGGTTTTTTTTTTTTTTTTTTTTTTTTTTTTTAAATTTTCTGAACTTAGAGTGGGAGACTCAAACTCTACCTATTATGGTAAAATCAGGTGTGAAATTATCAATAAATAATACTTATAACCATATGTGTTGTAGTTCTTTCTTACACAATTTTATCGAGAGAATTTACGGACATTGATTTCTTTTGTCCAAATTGTAAGCACTTATTCTATGGAGGTATAATACTCTACCTCGTCACGTGGCGGTACATTATTGGATAAAATGTCAGATTGTCACACTTTGAAATGTTTCTAGTGGAATATTCTCATCATAGGGACTGCCATTCATGTTGTAAAGAGTTCATATAACAAAGAGGGCTGAAAATGGAGCAGCAATACCACTTGATCTTTTGATGGAAAGCAATATCACTTGATGGGTAGTGAATAATGGAACAATACAAGAAGCTCTAATTGGACTAGCATTTTATGGTGGTATGTGATAATTTGTATCACCATCACCAAAGACTCTCTCTCTCTCTCTCTCTCTCTCTCTCTCTCTCTCTCTCTCTCTCTCACGTACAATCACCAAATGAAATGACAAAAACGTCCAAATAATTTAGGAGTGATCATGCATTGCACCCTTTTTTTTTTTTTTTTGGTTGCCAGTAATATGAGAGCAATATTCAACAGCACTAATTCTGCATAAAAGTCTCAGAAAAAGAAGAAAAAAAATATTCCAAAGGAAAGTGTTGGCTTTAATCCATATCCCAGCTGATGAGGAAATGAAGAAAAAAGAAAGAAAAAGAAAAAGAGAGTTCCACAATGGCCAACAAAATCGTAAAAGTCAATTGCATAAGATCGATCTACGGATTTATTGGGTTGCGGTCAAGAAGTTTTGATCACTTGGAATCAAAATCCAATCATTAATTTTCAAAGCCTCATTAGGCCTTAGCCATAACACTGCCACACATTCTACTTAATGTGTTTTAGCTTTGATCATTTTGATGCATGATACTCAAAGGTGACAAATGCTTAGATACTAAATCATATTTAAAGAGGAAAAAGAGAGAGAGAGAGAGAGAGAGAGAGAAATTGCGATAGATGCCCTTTTTTAAAGTTATTTTAATTAGATGTTATCGATTTTTGACAAATTATTTACTGATTTTGGTAAATCATTGATTAATTGATTATTAGTTTATCAGTATATGTCTAATGTATCAATTTTCAATCACGTAAACTATTGATTTTAAATTTTTAAAAGCTAGACATTTTTGTACATATCCCAAAAGAAGGAAAAAAAAAAAAAAGAAAGAAAATCTGTCAAATGAACAAAGTAGAACTAGAAGGCACATTAATAAACTAATAATCAGTCGGCCATTCTTACCACGACTTAATTCACTGTTTATCTGATCAGATTGTTTCCTCAACTGAAAGATCAAAAAATTTGGTGGGGCCTACAAGACAAGTAGGGTAGTGAAGATTCTTCTTCTTCTTCTGGGACATCTTCTTCTTGACTAAGCATCATCTTCTTGTGTATGTAGCTAGCTATAGCTAGAACTAAAAATCCACTTAATATTAGTGGCCAAACTCTTAGTTGATCACCTTCAAAGAAAGGAATATTAATTATTGTCACAAAGTTGGTTATGGTATGTGGCCCGAATGTTTGAAAAACGAGAAAAGGAAAAGGAAAAAAAAAATAAATAAATAAATAAATAAAAGAGATTTATTCAATACGTACCTTTCTCTTTAACCAGCCTCTGATGTACTTGAAGCTCCTTTATATTTTATTTTATTTTTTTCCTCATCTTTTTTTTTTTTTTTTTTTTTTTTTTTTTAATTTTTTCCGTAACTGGTTTTTTTTTTTTTTTTTTTTGCTTTAATATATTCCGTAACTGGTAAAGGAGATTCTGGGATGATGCCAAGTGTTTTTTATTTTTTAGGTCATGTAATGTAAAGTCCGAGTGAATCAAAAGTCATATGAACAAAGGAAGTTCCTCATCGATTATTATTCTTTGAAAAGGGACCCATTTGTTGAAGATCTCTCTCTCTCTCTCTCTCTCTCTCTCTCTCTCTCTATAAAATGTAAAAGCAAATGGAAGAAGATGAGAAGAATATGGCCTCAGGAATCAGGAAAAGAGAAACAAAAGGAACTTGTCACCATCCAACACAAATGAAAGAAGCCCCCCCTCAAAATTTTTGTCACTGCCAGAATTTTTATAGCACAAAGTTCACTATTATTATTTACTGAGTTAATTGACGTGAGCAATGTGTCACTCATACATCATTTATGTCCCACGTGATCACTGTCTTGTGGGCTTGAGAGGAAAGGAAAGAATAAGCTTTGAAGAATTTTACATGGCAGTGTACAGTTTGCCATGAGTTTCTATACTTTGGCTGTTATCAAGGTTAAATCAGAGCAATAATGCAAAGACATGCCAAGATTATTATTATTATTATTATTATTATTATTATTATTATTATTATTATGATCATCATCATCAATTAGAGTAGCATTACTATACGATGTTGTTTACTAACTTTTGGTCATCAATAACAATTTATTTGTTATTTTGTTTAGTAAGTATTTTTGTGTTATACTAAACATATACGGTGAATCCATATATATCCACCTGTAGATTCCAATTTTCTTTTTTCATCAAAAATAAATAAATAAATTGGCGCATGTAACATCACTCTATTGAGAATGATTTATTATCTCTCCGATTTAATTATGTGATTCCTAAATAAAGCGAATGAATGTCAATTTTACTTATGTATCCTTATAAGTTCACGTGTTATAAGCCAATGGTCATTTAGCTATAATAATCAATTACATTGATAAGATTCATATTTTTTATAAGTTTAGTAAAACTAGAAAAGAGATCGGACTGTTTTTCATTATAACGTCTAATAGATAAGTCTGTTTGGTCCGACCCAAATGACAGCTCTAGATGAGTCAACGACAAGAAGTGAAATCAGTGATCCTTATTCTTCATTTTTATTTTTTTCTTTACAATCTCATTACCTTTCTTATTATATTTCCTTACAGTTTAATGAATGCGACCTAATTACTCACGATAAATAACAATGGCATGATTAACCTGCTTTAATGTTTTTTAGTTTCAGGAATTTTCTCTCATTGTTAGGCTGAACTATTATAACCGCCTCAACCATACGTGATATATCCTAATTCCTATTCACTAAACTTTTTAAAAGCCTCAAGGCTATTTGGTAAGAGGTAAAAGAAAGAAGAATGAAACTGCAAAACTTAGGTGAGAAAAATAAAGAGGTAAAGGACTTTTTCCGCGTTTTGTATGGATTCAATGCTGCAAACAATCTAACTTTAGAATCATCAAAATTGGTGGCTGGTAAAAGGATTTTGAATTCTCTCTCGCCTAATAATTTCCTTCCTTTTAATCACTCCTGCCAAACAACTATTAGTCTTAAAATTAATCCACTAATTTTCCCACCTCTATATATCCCTCCTTCCACTTTTCTCTTCCACCAAACAAGATCCACAAGCCAGCATATTTCAACATGAAAAAATAATTACTACCTAGATGCGCTCTCAAGGATTCCATATGATCCGTCAATATATACAGCGATCCCATGTCATATATGGCATTGCAAAACTAAACACTCTAAGCAAGAAGTGGACATAAAAGTAACTCTAAATAACCCAATGATTAGAAGTTACCAAACTTGTTACGAACTTGCTCTCTAGGCGACTTCTCATAAATGCCCATGTGGTCCTTACATGATAATATGCAAGTTTTCGGTTTATTTACATATAAGTTATTATATGTAAAACGATATATATTTATAATTTATATATATATATATATGGATATAACCATATCTATATGCATAAAGTGTGTAGGTAT